ACCATGGTCAGGAAAGAGCGTGAGATGAAGATTTGGGGCAGACCTTCCCCTCTCCTCTCATGGTCCTGCACACCCCTGCACTGTGGTGGGCTGTGATCCTCGGGGAAGCTCTTAAGCCTGGGGAGGCAGCCCTGGCACAGCCACTTGTCAAAAGATTTTCAGCAAATCCCCCCCTCCTACAGTGAAGTATAACCTGTGCTGGCACTGCAGGTCTATTGCTTAATGCATAGGCTCATCTGCCCATGACAGCCAAGTGTCAGCCTGCACTGAAGCCAGGGAGGGATTGTGAGGCTGAATCTGTAATGGGTCCTTGCCAGCCCATCCATGTTTATAGGCTGTGATCTGCTGCCTCTTGATTTTATTCCAACCCCTTGATTAAATTTCTCACATGTAAGTGAACCCCACAAGTCTGTCCTGGCCATATATAATGGATGGCGGTAGAGGGGAAGAACACAAACATGGCTCATTGTCTGTAACAGATGCCCGGACAGCAGTACAGCAGGTCCCTCTGCTGAAGATCCCCCACCCACTGCCAGAACCTGCCCTCAGTGCCAGCCAATGCAAAAGGCTTTCTCCCTGTCCCCAGCCTCAGCCATTCTCCATTAGCCCAGGAGCAGGACAAGGCTTGGAGCCAATTCACTGAGCCATTATCTTCAGGAACACTGCCAGTTCCATCCCCTGAGCCCCGGTGCTGCCACTCGATGCCCCATCAAATATTAATACGACGCTCAGTGCCTCTGTGCCCTGCCCCAGCGCTGCATCCCTGGCCCCTGCCCTCTCCAGGGCTGCCCTACCACTCTGGCCTCCCCTCCCACCCCGTATTGCTCATTCCTCCATACACAGGGACTTTGGGGGTGCAGCTGCACCCACCTTTGGGTGTTCCCTGAGCAGGGCAGGGCAGGCAGGACCAGGCTCCCTAACCTCGGCAGGGGTCCCCAGCGGCCAGTTCAGCCCCACACCGCAGGTAAGACCCCAGGGGCTGGAGCAGTGGGCATGTCCCCAGAGAATGCCAGCCCATCACTCCAGGGAGTGGGAGGGCAGGCCGGGGGTATAGGTTGGTGGCCATGAGGTGGCCCTGTGGTTGGCCCTTGGCTGCAGGGGTGTTGCAGTGCATCCCTGGGGGAGAGTGGGCAGTGGGGACTCCTCAGCTTCTTCTCTGAAGGAAGCAAACCCACCTGTGGGTCTACCCTGGGAAGGGTTCCCCTCAAGAAGCGGGGGTGATGTGTCGGGTCACCCATCAGCTGCTCACGCCTGGGGGGCCCTGGGGATGTTGGGGCCCACGTCCCCTTTTCTGCCCTCCCGCAGGAGGAGGCCTGCGCCTCTGCCCCCAGTAGCCGCTCGGCCCTGCGGGGGATGGAGCCCAGCAGGTTGGTACCGGCGGAGCTGAAGTTGCGCAAGCCCTCGCAGCGGGCCAGGATCCCGGAGCCCTTCCTCGCCCACCCGGTAGGTCGCTGGGTCGGTCCGCGGTCCCTGGCTCCTCCTCTCGGCCGCCGTTTAGTCCTTCGAGCCCCCGTGACTCTAATCCGCGCAGGACGGGGTGGCTGGGCCGGCGGGGCCCCCCGGACCGGACCCTGCGGAGGGCGACGTGGACTCCCTTGTGCCCACGCACGACGAGCGGGGCCGGCTCATCCCTGAGTGGAAGCGGCAGGTGATGGTGCGGCGGCTGCGGGCCCGACTGCGGGACGAGACGGCGGGAGGGCAGGTAGGAGGGGAGCGGGGCGGGGAGGGGGTGCGGGCGGTCAGGGGTCGCTAACCGCGCGTCTCCGCAGGATGCGAGCTCCTGGAGCTTCTCGCCCTCCCACCAAGCCATGCTGGGCCCCTTCGGGGAGCTGCTGACCGAGGCGGACCTGCATCAGCTGGAGAGGGCGGTGGAGAGCCTGCGGCTGCGGCGACGCGGCGAGGTGTACCAGGGCGAGCTGCGGCGCCTGGCGCGGGAGCTACGCGCCCTCCTGCCCGGCCCGCTGCTCAGCATCTCCGTCCGCAGTCCCCCACCCGCCCCCGGGCAGCCCCTGCCCCTCTGGTGCGGCCGCCTGGCCGGCGCCGTCAGCAGCCTGGCCGCGCTGCTGGGCCACGCCGAGGGGGTGTGGGGGTCTCGCGCTGTCGCCACCGCCCCTACCGCTGACCCCTCTCCCGTTGTCGCCGACGGACAGCGCCGGGAGCCGGCGGGCAGCCTGGCGCAGCGGGAGATCCGGCAATGTGGAGTCTGCGTCCGCAGCTTGCGCGGCGCCTTCGAGCCCGCCTGGGGGGCGTCGGGGGCCGCGTCGGCCGGGGGCGGCGAGACGGAGGCCGCCAGCGACTCGGGCATCAGCTGCGAGGAGGCGTTTTCTGACGGCGGCGGCTCGGGGCCGGGGCCGGGGCCGGGGCCGGTGTGCGGCAGCCTGAGGAAGGAACGGATCGTGATGCTCTTCCTGAGCCACTGGAGACGCTCCGCGTACGCGCCCCCCCAGCCCGCCGCCGGGAACCCTCGGGAGACGGCGGGGAGTGGGCCGAGGGGGGCAGCCCGCCTGGAGCGGCAGCGGGTGGCCATTCAGAGGCTCCTGAGCGCCTGGCGGGACGTCGCCTCCCGCCGCCCCCCACCGCCGCCCCCCGCCCGTGGCCTGCTGTCACCAGAGCAGTTCGTGGCGGCGGCGGGGGGCGGCCCGGCCGAGTATGAGAGCTTGTCGCTGGAGATGTTCATGCTGGGCTATTTCCGCATCTTGGAGCAGGAGCTGCCCCCCGAAGAGCGCCGCGGCCGCCACCTGCTCTGTTTCGAGGTGTTTGAGCAGCTGGGACGGCACGGCTGGCGGGCGGTGCGCGCCTTCCACCGCGCCGTCACCGACGAGATCGCGGCTGGGAGGCGCAGCTGGCGCGACGGCTTCGACGACATCAAGGCACGGTACTTCGGGTCCTCGCAGAGCCTGGCCCGGCGGCCGGGGGAGGCCAGGGAGGAGGGGGAAGAGATTTGCCGCTACATCGATCGCAGCTTCGCCTTTTGGAAGGAGAGAGAGGCCGAGATCTTCAGCCTGGAGGACTGATGCTGGCGGGCTGCGGAGTGCTGTGCAGGCTGCGGGATGCAATAAACACCTTCTCGGTTCTCTTCCAGCTGAGCGAGGTTTTCCGGGGCGATGAAGAAAGCTGCTGAGGGAGGGGGCACTCCGATTCCCCCCTTCCTCGGGTCGGATATCTCGGTCCCGGCTGCCGCCGCGTGTTTGCAGCCGTCGCGGAGTGAGATAACGGCCTATATTTACACCGGCCGGGGGAGGGAGGAGGGGCATCGCGGGGACCCCCGCCTACAGACAGGGCGGAGGGGGCTGCAGTGGGAGCGGTTACCCCCAGGCGCGGTGTCCAACCGACCCCCTCACGAGGGGGAGACTTTACTAAAGGCAGCAACGCCGCGGGGCGACCGGGATGGGCGGCGGCGACTGCTCTTCCCGTGCGGTGCCTTTAAGAGCAGGGAGCAGTGTCCAGGTGCCACCTAAAAATAGCATGTGGCCCCCCCTTCCCGGCTAATCCCGTGTCGCGCGGCGTGTTCCTGCCCAGCGCCGGGACAGTGACCGCTTCCTTCCCGCGGGCCGGCCGGGGCTGTGGAGCACTGGTGAGAGCGGGAGCGACTGCACCGGGGGGAGCTCAACCCAACCCCAAATCACCCCCAAAAGGCCGGTCGCAGCTCCAGCAGGGCAGCTGCGCCGTGGGGAGGAGAAAACACGGCCTGGGAGTGGGGACGCTGCGGGGAGCACTTCTGCCGCCACTGCTAACCGTGACTCGGGCGCTGGTAAAGCAAGGTGGGTGCTGGGGCAGGGGAAAAGGGAGACGGTATCGCCTTTTCCTGGCAGGAAAATCCTCGCCTCGCTCTGTTCGGGTGCAGCCTGCCTGCCAGGCCCCGCGGCCATCCTCGGCACCATGGTGAGGAACGTGGACGACTTTGACTTCTGCCTGCCTTCACACGCCCAGGGCGTGCTGGAGGGGCTGCAGCAGCTGCGCACCAACCCTAAGCTGGCCGATGTGACACTGGTGGTGGGCGGGCAGGAGTTCCCTTGCCACCGTGGTGTCCTGGCCCTCTGCAGCCATTACTTCTACGCCATGTTCTCCGGAGACTTCGCGGAGAGCATCGCGGCACGGGTGGAGCTGAAGGAGGTAGATCCCAGCGCGCTGGAGATGCTGCTCAACTTCGCCTACACAGGGAAGGTCACCATCAACCAAGGCAATGTGGAGGGGCTGATGCGGACCTCCAGCCAGCTCCACTTCCCTGCTATCCAGAAGGTCTGCAGCCGCTACCTCCGGCAGCAGATGGACGTCACCAACTGCCTAGGTATCTGTGAGTTTGGTGAGAGCCATGGCTGCCCTGAGGTCTCCTCCAAGGCTTGGTCTTTCTTGCAGGAGAACTTTGAAGCCGTCTCTCTGCAGGAGGAGTTCCTCCAGCTCTCCAAGGAGAGGTTGGCCATCTACCTCTCCAATGACCAGCTGCAGGTGCAGGAGGAACGGAGCCTGGTCGAGGCTGTGCTGCGCTGGGTACGCCACGACCCGGGGCCCCGAGCCCAGTTCCTGCCTGAGCTGCTGGAGCTGACCCACCTGGTCTCGCTGCCCGACCAGTACTTGCAGAACCTACTTGCCACTGAGCCCCTTGTCCGTGACTCAGATGCCAGCAAGGCCCTCGTTGCCCGATCCCGCACCATGGTGGGTATCCCCTGTCCCCAAATCCCACTCCCCGAGCCAGGAGGGAGGAGCCTTACAGTCCTGCCCTGGCCTCTACATCAGGGGCAGAGCAACACTGGTGCCCTGAAGAACGCCCCAACCCCACCACAGAAGCTGGAGGAGGTGCTGGTGGTGGTTGGCGGCCGCGTGCTAGAGGATGGAGAAGATGAGGGAAGGGAGCTGGAAATGCCAACTGCCTCCAGGAACTTTGCCTTCTACAATCCCAAAAGTAGTAAGTGCCCACTTCCCCCTCCACTCTTCCCCATGTTAATTAACCCTCTGTCTACCCCAAAACCACCTCTTGCCAAACTAGTGTCAATTTGGAGGGGCACTGGTTGGGGTGGAGGATGGGATTGAAACAGGAATGGCTTAAGAACTGCCATTGCTGGCTGGGAGGTCATTGCTTGACTCTGCTGGGTTTCAGAGCGATGGATGGCTCTGCCCGACTTCCCTGATTACAACAAATGGGGCTTTTCCCTGGTGACTCTGAACAACGACGTGTACGTCACAGGTAGGTTACAGGGCTGCTGGTGCAGGGTGGACATCTTCAAGGAGCAGGGCTGGATGACAAAGGACAAACGTGAGCACGAGGCACTAGCATGGGGCCAGGGGCTCCTCTCTGAGCAAAGTCCTCTAATCACTCCCCGCTTTGGCAAATCTGGACACTGGCAAGAGATGCCTAGGGACAGCTGCACTCAGAGATGGTGGCCCCTCTGACTTATCTCTCCCCAGGTGGCTCTCGGGGGTCCCAGAATGACACCTGGTCAACGACCCAGGCATGGTGCTTCTGCCCTAGGGACGGCCTCTGGAAGCCCATCGCTTCCATGCTGAGAGCCCGGACAAACCACACCAGCGCTGTCCTCAATGGTGAGATCTACGTCATTGGGGGTAAGGCTGCAAAGACCCTGTGGGTGCTGCTAGGGTGGGGGTTCATGGGTGGCCCAGAGCAGCAGGGCAGCTGCAGCACCCTGTCACCCTGCAGGGACAACGGTGGACGTGGTGGAGGTGGAGCGCTATGACCCCTACAACAAGAGCTGGTGTGCCATCAGCCCAGCCCCCAAGTACGTGAGCAATTTTGCAGCCGCCAGCTGCTCAGGCAAGCTCTACCTGGTGGGCTCCTGTGCCGTCAAGTACAACGCACTCACCCTGCAGTGCTACAACCCTGTCCAAGGTGAGAGTGCACCCTGCCACCACGACCCACCAACACTGTCCTGGGGAGAGGGTGGTGAGGGGGTCACCCCAGGCAGTTGACCCCCTGTGCTTCCAGGCATGGTCCTGTGGGATGCGAGCAGGTGCTAACAGGGGGCACTGATGGCTGCGGCACAGGGAACCAGGGCTCCAGCAGGAGCACGGCTGCCTGCAGCACAGACCTGAGTCGCAGACATCTGACACAGGCTGGAGCTGAGCTTCAGTGGAGCGGGATCTCTGGGGCATAAGGGTGGGGGAGGCTGCCTGCCTTAGGAAGAAACTAACCCCCTGTGACAATGCCACCTCCTTGGGTAGCCTCGCCCCCATCCCGCAGCACTACTACAAACCACGTCCCCATTCCCTCTATTTTTTATGCAAGACTCTTGCCTGGGGTGGGGACTGTGGGCGCCTGTCTGCCTGGCTGCTCTACCTTCTCCCTTTCAAATTCCCCCTGAAATAGCCTTGGGCTCGGCGATGCTTTTTTCAGTCACTGGCAGCTGCATCGAGAGCCAAGGGTGGGACGTGCTGCTAACGCCTGCTCCTTGCAGATTTGTGGAGTGTGATCACATCCCCCTTCATCCCCAAGTACCTCTCGGCCCCACGCTGTGCCACCCTGCGCGGGCTCATCTACCTCATTGGGGACAACACCAAGAAGGTCCACGTGTACAACCCGGAAGCCAACATCTGGCAGAAGGTTGTGGGATGTGGGGCCAGGCACACTTATCCTCCCAGGGGTGTGGGGAGGGTTTTCTCACCTGCTCCCCCTGGGTGTCAGCACTCCTTCTCCCTCCTGCGCACTCATCCCTTGGCTCTGTTAACTCCTGCAGAGCTGAAGATGCCCCAGTCCTTCTTCCCCTGCTCCCCCATCACTCCTGCACTAGGCACCAGGGACCCCCAAACCTCACAGAAAGGATGGGGCAGGGAGACACATCTGTGGATAGATGTCCTCTGCAGTGGGAGCGGGAGGTCACCAACGAGTCCCTGAACATCTCACCCTGCCCCTCAACACAGGTGCAGCTCCTGCATGTGCTCCATGAGAACGGAGGGATGGTGGCACTGGGTGACCGTCTCTTTGTCACTGGTGGCCACTGGAAGGGCATGGATGGGGACTACCGGGTAGAAATGGAGGTGTATGACTGCGCCAAGGACCTCTGGACACGGGAGGGCTCGCTGCCCTGCCTCTGGCTCTTCCACAGCTCCTCCTCCATCTTCATTGACACCTCCAAGTGGACAGAGGTTTTCCAGGGTGACCATGGGTGGTAGAAGAGCCTGTTGCCCTATGCAGCCACGCTCCCTTCTTGTGTCTCCTCGCTGCCTGTTCAGCCCTTGTGAGGAGGGGATGGAAAGCCCTCTACCAGGCTGGATGGGGCAGCAGGAATGTGTTTCCCCACCACTGCAGGGAAAAGGCTTTTCCTTATAAACATGCTTTGGCTAATGCTCTCTTCTTTTGGCTTGTGGTTTGTTTTTTCGTTTGGTTGGCTGGGTTTTTTTTAGAACTGCCTTTTCCCCCCTTCAAAACCCTAAAGCTTTCAGGGTATTACATGGCCTCCCAGAGTGTGGTCCATCCCATCAAAGTCTGACGTTGCTGCTTGGGGGCCATGCTCTCTTTCCCCATTCCACTGGCAGCCAGCATGGAGAAACCCAAGTGGGACCAGGGGAATCTCTTGCCCAACACCCAAAGCTCTCCGGCCCCTCGCTGGCTAAGATTTAAGCGTCGGACCCGCTCCAGTGCCCAGTGCCACGTTTTGGATGCTTTGTGTCCTCAGGTGGTCCAGCAGCCTGTGGCGAGGTGCATAATCCCGGGTTCTCTCCTATAAGACACACCATGCACCCCAGGGAAGCGATCCACGCTCACGGTGAAGCAGCCAGCACCCGAGTGCCTCCCTGCTCCTGGTGCGGTGACTGCTGCTCCAGCCCCGTCTCTGCCGGCACCGGTGGTGGAGGGATGGGCGACGCTTCCCTGTCGGCCGGGCCTACAGCCAGCACGGCTGGACGGTTCAGCCGTCCCGCCTTCGGTTGTTCTCTATTTTAGAATCGTTAAACATGCCCAGGGCGGGGTGGGCACCTCCCACTTCAGGAGCCCCGCGCTGCTCCCCACGGCCATACGGGGTTTTAAATGCGAGGAGGTCCCGGCGCCCGGAGGGCAAAGCCTGGCAGTGGGGCGGGACCGCCGGGACCGCCCTCCTGGTGGCGGCGGCGGCGGGATGCGGCTGTCAGGGCTGTGCCTGGCGCTCCTCTGTGTCGCCGGCACCGGCGCCGAACCCCCGCGGGCAGCTCGGGAGCGGCCGCCGGGCCCGGGAGCAGCTGCGGGACGGGCGGCGGCGGCGGGACGCGGAGGGCCGGGGGCAGCCGGCGTAGACTCCCGGCAGGCGTGGATGCTGCTGGCCGGGAGCCCCGGGCGGGGGAACGGCGGTCGGGCCCGCGGCGGGGCGGGGGCGGACACGACTCCGGTGGGCGGCCGCTCTCCGGGAAAAACGCCCCCGGCTGTGGCGCAGGGCAGTGTGCCAGGGGCTGCCCCGGACCCCCCTGCCGCCTCCCCCGCCGTGCCCGTGGAGCTGCTGAGGGAGCTGCAGCTCCTGCTCAGAGGTACCGGGGTGGGGGGTCGGAGGCCAGGGCGGGAGCCGGGGGGGCCAGCAGGCCGAGACACAGTAGAGTGGGCGGCAGAACCAGGAAAAGTGAAGGTACTTTCCTAACGCTGTGGGGTTGGGGTCAGGAATGGCAAAGGAGCAGGCAAAGGAGCAGAGGACAGCCTGGGAAGGGCGTAAGGAAAAGGAAGAACGCAGCCCCCAGGCCGGGGCCCATCATCGCGTGGAAGCAGCCTTCCACTGCCGGACGCGCGAAGACATCTCCGTGGAGCAGAGAACACGACAGGAGCTGCGGCTGTTCTACATCGTTAGTGCCCAGGCTGCCCCTCTCCCCTGTCTGCGGGGACACCCGCCCAGGCACAGGGGCTTCTTCTCTAACTACAGCCATTCCTTGTCACAGCCTGAGAGGGAGGAGACGTTTCACCGCGGCCCAGGGCTAAACCTGACCAGTGGGCAGTACACAGCCCCCACCGCAGGGTACTACACCTTCAGCACCACGCTGCACATTGGTGAGCCCTTGGGCAGCCCCCCGGCCCTGGCGGGGTGGTCTGGGATGGCTCTCACCCCCAGCTCTGTCCCAGTGCACAGGGAGCCACAGAGGAAGAGGCAGGTGTGCCGGGGGACACGCCTGCGCGTGCTCATCTGTGTGCAGTCCCACTGCCAGCACAACAGGTACGGCAGGGCAAAGCCAGGGACCCTGGGCCAGGGAGAGGGGAAGGAGTCCAGCAGCCCTGGGAAAGGAGGGGTGTGTTCCCCCCGGCACCACCCTCCCTCTTCTGCAGAAATTTGGAGACTTCGTCCCAGCTGGAGAGCAGGGGTCACCTTTTTACCATCTCTGTCACCGGAGTCCTTTACCTGCAGGTTAGTAGTACCAGCACCACTGGGGACAGTACTGTGCAGGAAGGTGCCTTCCGTAGCCCCAGCTCAGGGCTGGGCATCAGGTCTGCTTCTCCAAGGATACTCGGGTGAGGTCTGCTGGTGCACTGTAGCACAGACTGTGGCTGGGCTGCCCTGAAGCTTGTGCTGTTCTTTTCCCAGAAGGGTGGGGGCAGCTCCTCCACCTCTCAGATGCTGCACACAGGGGAGAGCTCTCTCCCTGGCTCTGCCAGGCTGTGCCTGGTACCCAAGGAAGGTGTCCCAGCCCTGCTAAACCCTCTCTCCCCCCAGGCCGGGCAGTATGCCTCTGTTTTTGTGGAGAACACTGCAGGCTCTCCCCTCACTGTTCGAAGCGGCTCCGATTTCAGCGCCGTTCTGCTGGGGGTGTGAAGAGGCACCAGGCAGGGCACTGAACCTGTGCCAGGAGCAGCCAGACCCTTCCCTCTGCCAGCCACCATCGCATCTCCCCTGCTCAGCAAAAAGCCCAGGGAAGATTATTTGCCCTTGCAGGAACTGTGGTCTGGTCTGATACTGCTCATGCTACAGAACCAGCTGAAGATGAACAAAAGATCATGGACAAGATGATGATGATAATAAAACAGCCTGACAAGGACCTAAAGGCATTCACTTTTAACTAAAGGCTAGGCCTGGAAATTGATCTTGGGAAATGCTACTGACAGCAGCAGCGGATGGTTGCCTTCTCCTCAGGGCTCAGCTCCCATGCCTGGGACAAAGCCCTCCACCTCCATTTTTGCCCTCAGTGGACTTCCCTCCCCTGGCCAGTGTCTTAGCAGCCCAAACCAGATTATGGATCACTTTAGCTGCCCTGCAGTGTATGAGCAGTGAATGCTTGCTGGCAGAAGCAAACATCCTTTGCACTAATCGTTAAAGCAATGTCCCAGTAATGCGGCACATCCGATTAAAGCAAATTCTTGGGCCCTGGCTTTCCACGCCAGGCGTTCCCTGCCCGTGGCACGGGGCCCAGGCTGTGGGCAGCACAGATACGCTCTTTGCTCCGGCCCCGATAGCTGCCTGAGCTGAAGATGGGCACAGGGATACGTGACTGAGCAAGGGCTGCACGGGAAGGACCCGGGTGTTTGATTTCTTAGTAGCACTTAGTACTGGGCAAGTTGTGCCAGCAACACCTCAAGATAGCCTGAGCTGCACCCAGCCCCACCTTCCCCCAGGGATCCATGTACACAGGCAGGAGAAGGCATCTTCTCAGTGCTGAATTGTGCTCAGCAGGGCTTTCCTGGCCCTGCCTGCCCTTCTCCACAGGCTGCATCTCCTTGAGGAGCCTCGTGAAGCGGCTGTTGCAGCAATTTGTGGATAAGGGTGTTTGGATCCGGGGAGGAGGGGGGCAAAGCTCTGGTTGTACAGTCTGAATGCTGACTTCTCCCTCAGGACAAAGACAGCTTCTATCTGAAAGCAAAGCTGTGCTTCTCCCTCAGCTGATCCGGTGGGCAGCAGCCTCCTGCCAGGGATGAGGTCCCTGCAGCTCCTGCCCAGAGAGGAGGTTGGCACTGGCAGCACCTCCTAGTCCCCACGCATGATAAGCCAAGGCAGCCTCACTCTGATCAGCTGCCTCTCTTTCTACTACACACACCTGAGGAGGTACAAAAGGACTTGCTGTCTGAGAGCGGGGCTTGCCCGGCTGTAAGCTGTCCTGTGCCCATGAGGTATCAAGAGTCCAATGCACTCAAACAAAACTGAAAGAGCTGATTAAGCTGGAGGTAAATAGAGGGCTAATTTAAGTCTTGGGAGGGGACAGAAGCTCAGTCAGCTCCAAGGGAGAAGAACTGTATGCAGACCACTTGTGCATGGGCCACCCTGAGGGGTGACCTTGGGAGCTCTTCTCAGTAGCAGGATGCTGCTTGAGCACTTGAGGCAAGGAGAGTGCATTTTCAGGAAACCTCCTGCAGACCCCACCCTACCAGGAAATTCAAGCCAGTAATTTTTTTACTTCCACTAAAGCTGGGGCTGAACTTGCCTTTCTAACTGTCTGGCTATTCCCAACCATGATGAGACCTGGTCCACAGCACTTTCTTTTCTCATTTGCCCTGAAAAATTGACATTTTACAGAAATTATTATTAACCATAACAACCATTGTTGTGCCATAATGCTGCATGTTCTGATCCTAACTGGAGATGTGCTTTCCAAATTCTTCTTAAAGGGAGGGAAAGAAGTGTTGTAGGAGGAGGGAGGGGAAGGGAAGACAGTCAGAGAAGGACAAGCTGACATTGCTCTCACCAGCTTGCGCTGGAATGCAGAGGGGCCTCCTGGAGGGAGCCACAGAGCTGGGAGCATGGCTCAGCTCTCACAGCATGGCCAGAGCCCTCCCCAGTGCGAAAGGTGGAAAAAGGGAGAGGTAAGAAAGGAAGGCAAGTTGCTCTTCTGAGATGTGCCATAAGGGTTTCTTTTGCTACACAGTCTGAAGCAATTCTGTGCTACTCTGTCTGGGCTCTCCAAATTTGGCTTTCATGAGGAGAAGTAGCAGAGTGTGTTGCTAACAAAGGGATTCCCTCTCAGCTCATCCTGCAGTGCAACCATATATCAAAGTACACAGGAATGGCTGGGAGCAGAACAAGCTGGCAGAGGGCAAGCACTACCCAAAATCTGTACCGGATGCCCAGTTCCTTCCTCAGTCCTCTTCAGGAGATGTGGAGAGTTGGTGTGAGCCAGGCTGTGTCAGCCTAACCCTCAGCCTAAGCCCAGGAAGTATAACTGACTAGTGCTGGAGCAGAAATCCATGAAGGATGGTCAACCACCTGTCCAAACAAGAGGACGGATGTTGTGTGCTCCACTAAACAGATAGCCCAGGATCTGGGACCATCTCCCAAAGTTCTGGGAATACAGATAACGGAAATGAGCCTTGGAAGCCTCACAGCCCTGTCCAGGCTATGCAAAAAATGGCAGATACCACTGCACCAACCTGCCCACCTCCCTGGGACTGCAACTGCCTCATCAGAGCAAGGAAGCTGTGCAAGCAACCCCCACGCTGACCCCTTGGCTCACCTCCCTCACTGCCCCAGTTCACCCACAGCATGGGAAAGCTACATAATCAGAAATTTAAGTGCTCTGGTCCAATCCACTTAGCTTTCATTCTGTCGTTTGCTCTTAAGCCAAATTGTCTCTGGAAAACAGCACACTGACTGTCTGCAGCAACAGCTGGCAGAGGCACTGGGACAGGATGAGATACCGGACACTTATTAGCAACAAGTACCTAAAACCTGAGATGCAGGCTCTGTGCTTGTCTGTGCTATCTGAGGAGCAGGCCTGTAGCTCAGCTGCCTGGCAGGTCTATTTGCTGAAAACACTTTCCCCAAAAAATATCAGGAGCAAACTCCAGACACTTTTTCCGTACCAGCACTGGGGTAAAACTCCAGCCCATTCTGCAAGCAGAGGGCAGGTACACTGTTGCTCTGCAAGCAGTGTTTGTGTCCCTCAGCTGCAGGCAACCTCACAGCCCAACTTCAGAGTCAAAAGATTTCCTTCCCAGCACGAAGAGGACAGCCCACACCACACCCCAAGCCTATGGTTACAGTACCACACAGTCTGTATGGTACAGCCTGTCCAGGAGCTCCCACGGAGCCCTACGAATTCAGGACTGTCCCAGAGCCTTGCACAAAGCTCAAAGAAATGGACAGCAGAACTGTCCTGTTTCAAACAGCTGACAGAGCTCATGCCCCCAGATGCCTCTTGCTAGCACCCCTGCCAAATGGGTTTACTGAGGGCTGACAGGAGATGTCTGCTCAGGCTGATCCACACTGGCAGCCACTTGGCAAACATTGCTAGCTAAATGAGCTAAGACTATTAGAAAAAAAAAAAAAACAACTTTATTTACACTGAAGCGCAGGACCCTCCCTCCCTCGGCCACATATGCACACAGACAGACCTCTCCCTTTCCTTACATGCGCCGCACCTCATCCCTCAGTGCTCTATCCGGACCACCATGACCGTGACGTTGTCAGCCGAGCCTCGCTGCACTGCCTTGTTGGCCAGTCTGTTACACGCAGCTTCATATCGAGCGTCTGCTTCCAGCTTCCCTTCTCTCATCTGGATGTTCTTATCCTGTTGGGGCAAGGAAACACGACACTGATTGCCCCCAGCAAAGGTATGTACAAGCAAATTGTATTTTCCAAGCGTGGCAAAGCGAAACAAACACAGACAACGTGGGGAAGTCTATTTGATGCCCCCTGCACTGACAAACCCAGCCCCCACACTGCGTTCTTCTCACCTCCAGGCAGGACACAATGAAGTTCACAGCTTCTTCTGGTGTAAAGACTTTAAAGAGGCCATCACACGCTATCAGAATGAACCTGGAAATCAAGTGGAGACAGGGTCCAAGGCTGAATCTTTGGCTCCCCAGTTACAGCAAAATCCCTCCAATTTATTTTATGAACATCCACTCTCCAGTGCAAAGAAAAGATGCCATAAAACTTATCTGAAAATCCTTCAGAACCTACTATTCATGGAGCTGAGGCAATTCAAAATACAGGGCAAAGAGCCAGGCAACTAATGCATGACCTAGATCAGGACACCCTGGCAGTCCTACCAACACCAGCAGGATCACATACAACACCCTGCTGGAAAGCTCCATTGTTTCTCTAAGAACTGCTTCTTTCCTTTGTGTCCTTTTCATTCACATATTTTCCCTGTGAAGCAGCTAATGCAAGGAAATAGAGAAACACAGCTTAATCCTTCATGTGCATTGCTTTAAAGCCTTTACATTTCTACACTTCTGAGGTATGTGCTAATTTAAATACATGAATTCAAAAGAAAAGCAAGCAGCAGAACTGTGATGGGAAAACTGACACAAAGTATTGCCACAGGCTGCAAAAGGTTGAAGGGATACAAAGCCCAAGGCAAGGACAGCAATCCTAGGAAGGATCCTAGGATGGGGGAGACAGCTCACTGTGCACTACTACCTGCCTGCACATGGAATGGTATTAACCAGGAGCCCTAACCAGAATCACCACACAAGGAAAACTACAACCAACCCGCAGAGGTGGTCAGCCTGCACACAGCTCTGAAGACATCATTTCAGAGCCTGATACTCAGAGTGTCTTTAGAAATATTTTAGTGGATCCCTTGATATGGAACTCCAGTCCCAGAAAAAGCAGCAGTACTGGGTTACATTCTCACCTCTGAGAGCCTGCAGGGCCATAGTGATACGAAAGCTCATTGCAATTTGTCACTGCCAATCATAGTATGGAAAAGTATCTCAAATCTTCAGGTATCAGAGCTGAATGGGATGGTATTTATGGGCACTACAGCTACTAGAAACAACTCTTGAACAGGATGGACTTCTGAGAACTCAAGCCTTAACCAACTGCTTGAACACTGGTGTGTGAACTTAGAGCACAAATAACATCTAAGGCTCATGTATGCCAGTGACTGCTATGAGGCTGATTCCTCCAACAGGAGCCTTCATAGTATCTTGGCAGAGCAGCACCATTATCCCGCTGTACTGATAAGGAACAGGAGCAGAGAGACATCAGCAGTAAGAGCATCCTCTAATTCTGGGGATCAGTCTGGCCCTAACAGCAGAGCAAACAGGGTTGTGCAGCTTGTGCTACTTGTGCTGAGCAGAGCTGGGACTCAGCCAACCCCCGGTGCATGGGCACGGTTTACCTGTCGTTGTGTGTGAGTTGGCAGCGTTTGATATCTGGCACAGAG